CATACTATTCGGCTCAGTTCGGCTCGAATCAACCCCGGGAAAAGGCCACTCATGAGGAATGCTTTTCAAATCATTCTCAACCCAGGCAGATAATGTGCAAATCATTGACCCAGGTGAACAGACAACCTGCAAGGGTAAAAGTATACGAGTTTTTCACAACTTCGAACGTTACAATGGATGAGCCACACAACCACATGGCCAAACTGCTAAGATACCGAGCCAGACAACTTTAATTCATTTCCCATGAAACGCTTCACTAGTTATTGGACTTAGGACCTCATTAGTATCATGCCCCGTCAGTTGATGGGTGAAACCTATGACTCCATTGAAGATGGTTGAACTACTAGGGCTGTAAATAAGTCGGATGAGATCCGATTCGAATACAAATTCGATCTGATAAGAGCTGGATTCAAACACCTAATTTGATTCTAACAAATTGGATTGGATCAGAAAAGTCGATCTACTTAATTATAAAATATTATATATTATATTTTATTTACATAAATTATATATAATTATATTGTATATTATAATATATTAGGGTTCAACTATAATGCAGAAAAAAAAATGGTATTGGAAAAAGCTTATGGCCAATCAATTGATATCACAAAAGAGGTGATCAATCAGGTGATATTAATCAAAATTCATAAGGGTGCATCAATTGGTCAAGGCAGTGATTTTGAACCGTCATTGACCTGGACGATCAAGTCAGATCTCAGATCTGAGATCACTAAGATCCCAAAGAGAGAGAGAGAGAGAGAGAGAGAGAGAGAGAGAGAGACTGGAGAACAGAAGAGAGATCTCATATCTGAGATCTCAAAGAGATCTGAATGGTTGCCATAGCATTTTTTGTTGCTACCACCATCGCCATTGTTGTCGTCATAGCCAGTGAACATTGGATGCTCCTCCTCTTCTTCTTACCTCCTTCCTTTTTTTCTTTCTTTTTTTTGCCTTTCTTTCTTTATCAGCCTACAACCATTTCTTTTTTCTTATAAAAGACTAAGAGTAATGAATATTATTTACCTTAATATTCCAAACTGCCTAAACCATTTAATCTGGACAGTCGAACCATTGACCCAAAAACTAGTGGCCACACCAGTTTTATTTCGGGGTCAGTTTTTAAAACCTTTCTTCCTGGTATCATCAATTTTTTTATAACAATTCAAATCAAATTCGTATATGATAAAAATTTGAATTTGAATTTGAATCATAATCTTGAAAATCCAACGATTTCTTGTTAGATTTAACTCGCTAGGAATTTTTTATCAAACTGAGTTGAATATACCCTTTATCGAGTTTGATCCAATCCATTTGCAGCCCATAGTCGAACTGACTGCATTCTTTTGACAAACATGGCATCATGGTTTTTAAAACCGACCCAGAGATCGAACTGGTCAAGAGTCTGATTACCGGGTCAAATGGTCTGACTATTCGAACCGAATGGTCAACCCGTTCTGACAAAAAAAATAAAAAATGGTCAACCGTTTGAACGATTAACTGCCCAGGTCAGTGATTTGTTGACCAAAATCAACAATTTTTGAAGAAAATTCGATTTTGGGGAAAACCGAAACAAGTCGTCTGACCGGTTCCCGGTTTTTCCAGTCCGGTCCGGTTTTGAAAACCATGCATGGCATTGCAAACTTATATACTAGTCTGTGAAATGCATATCAAGATATATGGAGGATGAATTCATTTCTGAACCTTCAGTCTATTCTGCTTGTGGCCGATTGAGAAGGATAATCTATTTACTTCGATAGCATAACCCTGTCGAGGCTCTCAAAAAATTGTTCTTTAGGCATTTAATATTTAACCGTCTGTTCAGACTAGAGATGTAAATTGTATCGTACTGCCCGTGGCCGGTACAACGGCACATGAGCCATGCCAGGCACAGCATGATGGATTGAGCAATGTCAGGTTTGAGTTTCCAGGCCCATGAGCCGTGCCAGACCATACTTTTGAAACATCCCAATTCCCAGAGGTAGTAAGGACAGCTCAACCAATAGGCCATGTCATGCAAGCTGATTTACACGTAGGGGTGTAAATGATATTCGAAAATTTGAGTTCAAATTCGCAAAATAATGTAACCGAATTTAAATAAAATAGTATTATATATATATATATATATATATATANATATATATATATATATATATATATATATATATATACCTAAATACCTACCTATATAAAGTAATGTGTCCTATACTGCTATACCTGTCAGTAATCTACCTTTATGCTTAATTGTTGAAAGACTCAAAACTGAATGGGAAATAAGAAGCAAGAGACATACAGAATGCCGGCATTTGAACTTGGTTGTTTTGAGTTTTTTATTTTTATTTTGTGTTTTCTATTTTTTTTGTTATTCTTCAACTTCGTTTATTAACTTATCAAATTCTAATTGATTTAAATATTCGATTAACGAATTTGAATATGACATGATTCAATTTGAATTTGATCCATTTATAGGCCTATTTACACCTGTAGTTCAGACAATGCTAAGAGCACTTCTAACAAGAGCAAAACATATCCAACCTGAACTTGGGCGGCACTTGATTAATTGATCCCTAAATTTGAAAAGTTTGCTTTTTAAAAGTTATGTCTCATTTGTATTTGTTTTCACCGTAGACTCCGAGTAGTTGGTCAATCTCCGAAGGTCCGGAGATGGGTGGAGAAGAGAGAAATAGAGAAGAAATAGAGAGAGAGAGAGAGAGAGAGAGAGAGAGAGAGGGAGAAGAGAAAGATGACCCTCCCGGGAAACCCTAGGTCAAGGTTATATTGTGTTCTCCCTGGGAAAGAATTGCTCTCTCCCTTTTATAGGGAGGAAGTTAAGGTTATCAAGGAAGTTCTTTCCTGTTAGGAAAGATGATATTTTCTATTAGGAAATGAGATATTTCCTTTTGTTTGAATATTAAAGGATCATTATCAAAGAATCTTATCCCTTCCAGTTTCTCTCCGTATGCGACCCTATTATACTGACGTGACACGGGTGACATCACCATTTGGCAGGCATACTTTCATTAAATTTGCATGCGTAAGTTAAAGACATACGTGTAACCTATATGTATTCCCGTTTTACTGTGATTTCGTGATTCTGTAATGGTGTCGGGTTTATCGCAGCTTTACGCGTGTTCGGGTTCATCATAAATCCGTGTGTTCGGGGTTCATCGCAATCGCGCATGTGTCTTAGCTTTATCGCAGATTCGCACTAACCAAAATTCATCGCAACCTGTCCCAGGTATGAGTTTATCACAATCACGAATCTACGATGAACTCATCACAATCGTGCAATAAGTTTTGGATTCATCACAGGCATCTGTGTGGTGTTGGTTTGACACATTTTATACTCTGAGGGTCTTAGTGACCACTATGTACCTACAGTATTAATATTTGAACCATACCTTTTTCAAATGTGTTTTAGGCCAATTTTAGGAGTGCTTATTTGAAATAAATGCTTATTTGAGTGGGAACCACACTATTAAGCACTTATTGATGTTTGAAAAATAAGTGCTTATTTTAATTTCTAGCTTTTTTAAGTTCTCATTCAATAAGCACTTACTAAAATTTTCTCCCATAATTGTCCCAAGTAAATTTTTAGAATACCAATTATACCCTTTTATAAAAACACTTTTACAAAGGCACTTTTATAAAAGTAATTTTATGAAAAGTACTTTTATGAAAGTATTTTTACAAAAACACTTATAAAAATACTTTCACAAAAGCACTTTCATAGAAGTACTTTTATATGAAAACACCTTTATAAAAATACTTTTTATGATAACACTTTTATAGAAATACATTTTGTGAAAGTACTTTAACAAAAGCACTTTTATAAAAGTACTTTTACAAAAACACTTACAAAAATACTTTTACAAAAGCCCTGTTACAAAAGCCCTTTTACAAATGCACTTTTACAAAGTAGTCTTATAAAAGTATTTTTACAAAAGCACTTTTACAGAAATATTTTTATAAAAACACTTTTATGAAAGCACTTTTATAAGATAACTTTTACGAAAACAATTTTATAAAAAAACTTTTATGAAAGTACTTTTATAAAATCATTTACAAATCACTATTATAAAAAGTATTTTTATAAAAATACTTTTACCAAAGTACTTTTATGAAAACACTTTTATCAAAGTATTTTTATTCATACACTTTGGATTAGGTATTTTGAAAATTTAAAAGAAAATGAAAGATAAAAGGATCACAATTGCTTATTTAAGTGCTTATTGGCTCATAAAGGACTAAAAG